GAAAAATGGCCTGGATGGGAAGGGGGTTTAACACCGCGGATGTCAAATGGTTAATATTTAAAAAAAAAAGTTTTCAGTTCTGGCAATAATAATGTGTACATTAGTGTAGCCATCAAAAAGTAACTTGTAATACATTATTTTATTGGTCCTGATTTATAGGGTATATCAGATGTCTGTGATTTCAGTTTCTTTAGGGAGTTATAGGTCACAAAATACAAGGAGTGAAATACAAATTTACAATTAGTGTGGAACAATTTTAGAATGTGGTATGTTTGTCTCCTAACTTTAATAGCTTCCTCGGCACTATCTTCGCTTATAATTTTTTTATTAAAATGTATTTTTTGAAAAAACGTTTTTACTTTTAAAAATGTAAAAAAAAAAAAAAAACATTTTTAGTATTCCGAGAAGATACAAAGTATCTCTGAAAAGGAAACAGTATCAATTTTGTAATACACTGAACCGGCTTGCAGCTCCACAACACTGAACGGCAAGCCAGCTCCGTGGCTGTAACATCACTGTACTCATTGCGTTTAGCTATTGCAGTGATCACAGTGCTGGGACCCCCTAAATTGCTGTTGAGGGTCTGTCTGGGACACGGAGGGACCCAGCAACAGCATTACCTTAATGAGCGCTGGTACCTAAACAGACCAGCGCTCAGTGTACCGCATGATGGGATTATTCCACCACTGGTCTTTAACGAACTGAAAAACCGTGATGGAATAATCCCGCCATTGGTCGGGAAGGGATTAATAGAATCCAGGCCCTTACATTTTTAAGCCCCAATGACCTGGTATCCCTTTTGGGAAAGGAAACCTGAACTGATAGAAATGTGAAGACATCCATTGCTTAGAGTCACTGACATAGAGCAAGTATTCAGCAAGTGAAATCAGAACTTCTGATCTGCAAACCTGTTCTGGGCCAGTGATCCAAAAACTATTGAAGCCCGAGGCAGCCAGGCATCTAGCATTTTAGGGGTGCTTAGCAATACAGCCAATGTTTTCTACAGTACAGGTTTCCTTGCTTTTTATCCACAGTGCAAGCACATTCTCCATTTCAGCTTCCTAAAAAAAACAAGTCAAGGTGAGGGAGAAACAAGCGAACAGACACCTGTGTAAATAAACAAGCACTTCATATCCTAGTTCAGCAAGATCGGATGTGTGTATAAAAGTGTGCATATGTTTTATTGCTTTATATTAGGTTGTCTGGCTAGTTTATGTGCCGTGCCTTTGTAAAAACCACTAACACAATACCTGTGTATACCAGAATTTCAAGAGGCAGTCAGCACAAAATTAGACAAAAGAGAACATTGTCTTTGGCTGACCTACTAAAAAAAAAAAAAAACCCTCCAAAAGGTTTAGCCTCAGCTATGACTGTCCTCAAACTATTGCCACTTGTCGTTTGTGAAAACCCTGGTGTAACCACAAAAAAGACTTTTATACATTCCAATAGACCAGAATTAAAAAGGCAATAAAACATTTTAATTTTGATATTGCAAGAAAAAACAGGTTCAAAGCAGAACTATATCCCCACCTCTAATGAAATGGTTCTTGAGAAGAAAAAACAAAACACACATTGAAAATCAATATGGGAAAATATGGAGCCCAGAAACTGTACCTATTTTTATTTGGTACCTCGACATAAAAAAAAAAAAAAAAAGGGACCAGTGATCCATTCATCGCAACTGTACCTATTTTTATTTGGTACCTCGACATAAAAAAAAAAAAAAAAAAGTGACCAGTGATCCATTCATCGCAACTCAAGTCTCCCACACAGTAGAAGTGATCTACAAGATACTACATTTTATGAGCCCACATAAAAAGGGTTCCTTTGTGCTACATTAAGCACTGATCACACTAGGAATTTTGCTTCGCTAGTTTCTGACCCCACCGATGCATAGTGCCATCTTACATTTCAAGTTTTTAGAACGAAAAAAAGATAGTACCGATTGTGTATCAATCCCATGATCAAACACGTAAGATTTAAAACCGAACAGAAAAAGAAAATATATAACTGTTGCTCAGACCATAAAACTCAGTACTCGATAATCTTGCAATAAGCAGCCTGCTCTCCAGATACCATTAGGTGAGAATCAACACCATGGGAAAACTAAAAAAATAGGAAGCCATCAAGCAGTATTTTATGGATGGAGACCAGACTAACTTCTGGGTCTTTTGGCAGAATAAGAACAAGGCTTTCTGTTATTTTCCCCAGTGGATGCTAGATTACAGGTGGTCCAGAACAGCAGAAACAAAGGGCGGTCTGAGATTTATACCCACAGTCTGCTACAATTCTTAGATCTAGCACTGAAAAACTTAGTCATGTGAAAAAGTAAGTACAACCTATGGAAACTGTGACTTTTTCCAACAGGAAAACATTGGATCTTCATCCAAACAGTACCTACCGATAAAGGTGATATTCATAACCCAATGAGACATAAAAAAGTACACCCCTACATTTACCACCATTTAAAAAGGAGAATTATGGGGTGAGTGAAAAACGCTCATCCCCAAAATTTAAGCCGACCTATGACAAAGGAGCTGTCACAGGTCAGCTCTATTGATTAGGAAGGTCAGCAAACACACACCACCAAATCACTGACTTCCTGATTCTCCCCCTGCAGAGAGCAGTGACTGTCAGTTACAGCTGCTGCAGGAACACTCCTGTCCAAATCAGTCTCGGCTGCGGCACTTTCGGCATACAGTTGGCAATAGCCCGCTATATACGGAGTTTTGGGTCACCGGAAGACACAGTATATGTCCTCCCATGACCCTGAGAACTATAGGCAACAAAGGTTGGTCCATAATTCTCCTTTAAAATCCATGGTATTAGAATTCAGTGTTCTAGATTAGGTGCCAAAGAGTAGAACCTCCTTAGGGAGTATGCAGGTGGAACTAGTCTTAGACCTCGGATATCTTGGGTCTGGTGTTCTCTTTGCTATTGACATGTGTTGTGTCATCCTGCCAAGATTAACAGAGCTCTAAGGCCCTCACATAGAAGGTTGCCAAGGGATTTAAAAACATTGTCAGTATAAATCAATCATTCCTCTGTATGGAAAACAATCTACAAGTGACATAGATTTCAAACAACTGCTAATTTGTCCAGAACTGCCTGGCCCAGCAAATTAAGCCCAAAAGCTGACTGATGCTAAAAAAAAGTCTCCAAGAACCCCAAATTTGATTGTGGGATCTACAGGGAACTCTTGCAACAGTTGGTGTCCACATACAATCATTTACAAATCAGAAAGAAGTTCCACTGACTGAACCTGCAGGGAAGGTGTTACAGAAAAAAAAAAAAGAAAGTCTGCTGTCCAAAAACAACATTACGGCAAGACTATAGTTTGTCATTCAAGATATAGGCAAAGAACAGGCCTTCTGGAACAATGTGCTAAAGACCGATACGTCAAATCAGGGGCGTAACTAGAAAGCACAGGGCCCCATAGCAAAATTTTGTATGGGGCCCCGTGATTGCTAGTTATGCCACTTGCAGAGCCCCAGCGGAGAGTGACCCTGCAGAGCCCACCATAGACTCTCTATAGTGGGCTCTGCAGGGTCTGAGATCTCTTACCTGTCAGCGCCTCTGTGGTCGCCGGGCCCCGACTCCTCTGCTATTGACGGGCCCGCCTTCTCCATTCCAAATACCGCCCTCATCTGCGGCAGCGGCTGGCTGTCACTGACAGCTCCGCAGCGGCTATGAGGGGAAATGCGCCGTGGCTGAGCTGTGTCTGTGGCAGCCGGCACCCCCACATGCCATAGCGACCCAGGCGGCCCCTCTGTGCCCGGGCCCCATAGCGACCGCTTGGGTCGCTATGGCGATTGTTACGCCACTGCGTCAAATATAGAGCTGATGAGCCACAGCAACAGCCCACATGTTAGGCACAAACAGAGGACAGTATTCCAAATGAAGAAACTCATAACTGAACTAGGATAGAGCTACAAACATCTTGCAACTGAAGGCATTTTGCAAATTTTTTTGCAGTAGTTAAAAATGTTGGTGTCAAAGACTGGTGAGCAGTTATACAACAAGTCTGCTAAAAGGGGCATTACCAGCTTTTAATGGCAAGGGTATACTTACTTTTTCCACAGTACACCATTACATCTATTCATATTTGGTTAAATACATTGTTGAAAAGGCAACCTTTTTCTTCTGTTTCTTTTTTCAATAAATCACCTTCATCTGCAGGCACTGTCCAAATGAAGATTTAATGTTTGCTTGCTCAAACACGCTGAAAAAGGCAACCATTTCTATAGGGTGTACTTACTTTTTCACATGACTATGTGCTGGATTAATTACCCAGTCACGTCCAAGAAATGTTTCAAAATACTGGCTATAAATAGGCTAATTCTAAGAGCATTTCGTTAGCACCACATAGGAGAAGCACTTATCTGAACTTTGGAGTATTCCTTCACAGCACTGCTCAGTAAGCATTAGATGACTTCACACACTAACATTTCAACTACCATAAAACTCTTTTAAAAAAAAAAAAGAAAAAGAAAAAAGCATTTGACCATGAGATCTTAACCTTGTATTTTGCTTTAAGCCAGACATGGTCTCTGAACACCCCAACACACAAAAGGCAAAATAAAAAGGCAATTGACGAAAGTAAAAAAACAAACATATCAAGGCAGCAAATGCAATAGTACCTTCCAAACACACCCTGGGCCAGGAAATTCCTGGTCATATGTGCTATACCGGCAGTTTGGACGATCACTAGCTAAACTAATCTTTGAAAGTGCTGCAGCAATAGACAAAAAACTGCAGGCTCTCGTGCAATCAGTACAAACCATTTCCATGTTTTCCAGCAGCATGTGTTAAATGGCGTTTGGAACTTTATCAAACAAATCCTTTACACTAGAACAGCCAGTGGCCGACATGTGAAAAAGAGTGCTCAAAATAGTTTGCCAGAATTAGTCAAAAAAGGGAAAATAAGGTTTTGTAAACTTTAGCTTGTGGACTCTCTTAAGAGGGTGAAACAATACAACGCTTAAAATGGGCCAATTCAGGACTGTAAATTGTGTGCATCATGAAATCCAGATACCAAAACAGTCTTACCAGAGCCGATGTTCTCCATTTCAAGTACTAGAAGAAACCTAGCTGACTATCCTAGCTGCTGTGATGAAGGTATCACAAACCGACAGATGAGAATGAAGAGACTGAAGTAAACTCCTGACCCCACACAAAAAAACATACACATACATCAGACAGGATACAGCTTAATAATGTTGTCTGGTGGTCTAGAAAACTGAAACCCGGTGACTGTTTACACCAAGGAACGTAGAGTATGCAGAAACCGTACCCTGAAAAAAGCTCCACGCTCATCTTGTAGGTTGCAACACGTGTAGCCATAGTTCAAAAAGCTCCTTCACCTCACTGAGACTAGTTCATATAAGTCTTTCTCAGGTCTCTTAAGGTTGTTACCATATTAGATGCTTAAAACCCACTCAGGACCACATACCTGAATGTTTGGCAGAATTGTCTGGTATTCAAATAGCTTTAGCTGCTCCGTAACCATTTAACACAAAGTCATAAAAGTAATGTGGTACAATAATCTGCTGCCTGTTTAGGGTCACCTATCCCCACAAATTTTTGAGAAGGAGATTTTTTCCGCTTCATCACTGTAGTTTATGAAAAGTTACTGGGAAAAAAAAAAAAGCAAACTAGAAAAAGAAAAAATTGGCACCCGGCCTCCTATAGCCGGCATAGGCAGAAGAGTGTGGGGATAAACACTCCAAAGGCCACCAGGATTGGAAACATGAGGCTGCTGTTGTCCGAGGCATATGGGTTAGGAGTGCGAGGGCCAGACTGTACACGGTTCTTGTTGTTCTGCTTCTTTGTACTTGGGCCTTCCTCCTCTTCATCTTCTTCCTCCTCTTCCTTCTTCTCCAGGCCTGGATGAGGCTGTAGTTTTGGCACCTCTGTGTATGGAAAAGCAAGCAGGATTTAGAATGCAAACTTGCTGTGCCAACAGCTTCTGGCTAACGGTGGAGCGAAGAAAAGCCTCAGAGCAAAAGCAAACTGCATGAGTGTGCCCAGTCACTACATCCTTCCATATAAACCTCCATAAAAGCATTTGCACCTTCAATAGTTAACACATTTCCATACTATGAAAGTGCAAATTCCACTTGAAGCAGGTCAGTAAGGTTACCCAACAACAACAACAACAACAACAACAACAACGTACAGCGCTCTCGGGTAGAATTTGGAAGTGGTGTAGTATGCAGCCCTAGAGACCAGGAGGCACCTGTAATTGATACATCTAAAAAGACATAGAAGGGCGCAATAACCCGAGTGTATGTTTGTGCTCGCAAAGAAAAAATTTCACTTACATTAATGTCCAAGGACTGAAGGAAAGGCGGCCTCTGATGAGGATCGAGGGGTCCAAGGAGAGAGCCTTCACTGGCTGGGTGCCACTCATGTGAGCTCGACAGAGGAAAGCCCTCGAAACGAGTTGCTCCCGTCATTTTTTGACCCCCACCAGCACCTTTGTCGCCGCTGACTGTGGTTTGGCTAACGTCCATTACTGCCACTGGTCTGCGACCCACTTGCCGCCCTACTTCTCACACTGATAAGCATAGAACTCTAGCTTGTACCAAGCGGTGCGTCCCACAGCCGCATTTACGTCCGCTGAAGCCGACTGCACGCCGCCGAGTCCCACTCAATCAATCCCCCGCAGACACAGCAGGGACACGGACGGACCTCCGTCTTCCCTTCTCACCTCGGGTTCCAGCCACTCGCTCGCTTGGACGGGCTTCCCCCTGTTGGGCACCCACCCAGTGAGGGCTCTCTCCTTGGACCCCTCGATCCTCAGAGGCCGCCTTTCCTCCAGTCCTCGGACATTAATGTAAGTGACATTTTTTCCTTTGCGAGCTCAAATATACACTCGGGTTAGTGCGTCCTTCTGTGTCTTTTCAGTAAGGTTACCTGCAGGTCACTGCATATGTCAAGGAATTCCGACTGATCTCAGAGACCCCTCATACTGATGCCTTCAACAGAAGCCCAAAGCCCGTTGACACCGGCCCTTAGGGTGTTAATGCAGTTTCAGTTACTTGCTATCCAAAAAGGGTTATCATAATATCCCTGAAACAATTTAAAGGAGTAAAAAAACTGTTAAATATATTTTCCCACAGAATAAAATGTATGACAAAATGTGCTCATAAAAATGTAGTGTTGCCTACGACATTCCAACACAAATGAGTTTCTTTTTTATAGTGCTTTTTTTCACACATAAGCCCCAAAGTCACATTTTTCAGTTTAAATAAATTAAGCTTTTTTTTTTGTAAGTTTAAGTTAAATAGAGCAACAACAACAAAACAATTAAAATCCTATATCTGACCATCCCATGCTACATGTTCCTGGGGAATTCCTCCCCTAGGTGAGCAGGGTTTTGTTGCTGGACCTCAACCAGATGGGGATCGTAGAGTTCCTCATCACAAACTACATTCACATGGTCACAAAAAGGTAATGAAAAACCCCAATAAGTATGAAAGTGCCTTTACCATCTGTGTTTAACTACATTTTTGCACACATGATAAAACAGAATTTTTGGTTAGAAAACAGCTTCAGACCCCCAAACAGCTATACATTTTCGGATAGCAGAGGCCCTGTAGAATATAAAAAGGCTAGTAGCAATTTTTTATGTCACACGATATTTGTGCAAATGTTTACCACACCAATATTTTTAGGAAAAAAACACACTAAAATTAGTTTTATTGCACAGTAACATAATACCCATTTTGTTGGTAAAATATAAAAGATGGGGGTTACATCGAGTAAATAGATACCAAACATAGCAAGAGTAAAAATTGTGTGAAATGTCAAAAATTCATGGTACTCAAAACTAGGGATGCACCGAAGTACAGTACTCGGTACAAGTACAGATACTTTTCCAGCTCCAAGACTAGACTATCTCCTGGGATTTGTACATCTGTCCTAATGTAGGATTTTGTGTGTGTATATATATGTATATATATATATATATATAATATAATGCACCGATACCAGTTTTGCGAGTACGAGTACTGATACATTTGTTTATTTTCATGTGAGTTTTTCTAAAAAAATACAGACCAATGATTTCAGGACAGTGGTGGAGTGTCAGAGCCAGGTCCCAGATGCAACCGCTGCAACCCTGGTAGTTCTCATGAAAATGCCAAGTATCTGCACTGGTACTCGAAAAGTATCGGTGCATCCCTACTCAAAACTGTCCATAGGCCTTTAATGCTCATCAGTTTAAAAAGTTAACAGCAAATTATAGACCTAGAATTATTGCTCTCACTCCAATATTCCAAGCGATACTTAACATGTGTGACGTATTCGTCGTTTATGTACACGTGCATGCCCCACGTGGGCGTTTTCATTGACATGCAGACGGTGGGGGCGGTTTTCACTCTTTTAAAATTTTTATTTACCGACTATCACCTTTATTTTTTTTTCACTTCACTTTATTGCTATCACAAAGGGGATAACAAGCCCCTACATGGCAGCATTTGGAGGTGACAGGTTTTCTTTATGGTCTTAAAGACCCCAAAACTCTCCTATGGCTTCCAATACAGGGGACCGAGCATAGCATTATGCTTCCTGCATTCAGGGGCGTGGTGGTGGATTGAAGTCAATGGCACCGCAGCCACGCCCCCCCGCAGTGCATTTGCCCGTACCCAAACGTGTGGCACATTAGTGACTGCGTTTCCGGTCCAGTGTGATCTGCAAAAATAGTGCATGGAGCATTTTTGCAGATCACACTGTACCGGAATGCAGGTACTAACTAATGTGCCATGCGGGCGTGGCTGCGGTGCCATTGACTTCAATGCACTCCCGCAGGGAGCCGGCCGGTTCTTGTTCCAGAGGCCAAACGGAACGCACTCTTTGTGGCGTGAACTGGCCCAGAATTTCCTGTGTAACCGGTATTACAGCGGACTTCTGACATCTTTGACTCGCAGCGCTTTCTGAGTCACTGCTCACAGAGCAGATAGGCGAATGGATGTTCTAGTCAGCTCCCGCTTTCCATCCTGTAATTAATTGCCGTGGTCCTGGGTCCAGGAGAGGAGCGGGGGATCCCAAAAACCACAGCAGGGGTGTTTGGCAGCATTATTGCAGGTTGCTACAAGTGATCTAGGCAGCTATACAGCCACCCAGATAACCTTACAGAAAATAAGAATCGCCTGCTAATAAAAACTGTATTTTTTACTGAAAAATTGGGTTTTATAAACTGTTGTGCTATTATCATGCGACCAAAAAAAAACCCCACAACATTTTTAGGGTCTCTGCTTTCAGAAAATATACAATTTTGGGGTAGTTAAGCAATTTTCAGGCCTAAAATGTGCATTTTAACATGTGCAAAAAAAAAGTCTGACGGAAAAAGGCTTAAAGCCATTGTGGATAATTGGACCAAAGGGCTGTTGGGGGAATCAGGAATATTTGAAATATTTAAAAATAGAAATGTATTGAGTATTTGACAAACAGATCAAAGGACAACAATGCTACAGCCTGTTTTTTCAGCTACAAGCTCCTGAGGCTGTCACTTTTTCCTTGCTATACTACTGCATATTTGTACTGGCTCACAAACATACTAAGTACAGAAGGTTAACCCCTTCATGACTGAGGCCCTTTTTTCCATTTTTGCACCCATGTTATATTCCACATTTTAGGCCTGAAAATTACGTAAAACCCCCCAACATTATATATTTTCTGAATGCCAAGACCCTATAGAATAAAATGGTGGTAGTTGAACATTTTTATGTTGCGCAATATTAGCGCAACTCCTTATTAAACCCCAAAATTTAGTGACAAATTTAATTAAATGCCCCAAAACACAACAAATTACCCATTTTTTT